CATGACTACATTAGTAGATATCTCTCTTAAGTCATAATCGATGAGCTTAACGGGTCTCAGTCTTTTTGAGTTTACTGCATATAAAGAAACGATAATATTTTTACGCATTGGTCATACTTTTACCTATAAATGTGATCAACTAAACGAATCATCTTGTAACACCCGTTCTCTGATCACTTTGAGCCCTAGGTCTCGTGCTCTAACTTGCTCAACAAGTAACATGCATGCACACACTAAAAGGGAAAAAAGAGGGGTGAGCAATTCCGAGAAGAAATGACTCAGTGAGAAAGTTACCCACAACAACTCTAATACTTGGAAACAATAAGCAATCAAACACATTAACCTAGAAATAGAACATGCATCACCCAACTTATTACTAGCAACATAACATTCATACCTAACAATTCTACACCATAATCTCTTTTACTTATACATTATCATACTTAAACATTTCACCTTTTACATTCTTTACTTTTCACATTCTTTACTTTCTTTCCTTTTCACAGTTTTTTACTTTATTTACTTTTCCTAAATTCATGGCGGAGCCAACCCCTTTCTCGCGTTTTGGGCATGTCCTCCCCGTCATGGCCCTCTACGGCCTAGACTACAACGGGCTTACATACGCGATCGTCTGTAGTCCAACAAGCAAGTTCTGCAACAGGCTTACATACGCGATCGTCCGCAGAACTATATATCCTATCTACAATCTCAAACAATTCATTTTAATTCTTTAACTTTCTTTCTCTACCTAGCACCATACAACTTTATCAAATAGTTTCCACACATCAAACAATATTACAAACTACCACATAGCAACCAGCAAACATAAAGCGTCCCTAGATTTAGCATATATAACCAACAACATCACATTCAATTCCTAGACTAACATGTAAGAACATCTACTGTTAACTAGTATTAAAGTAATCTAGACAACACCCTCATCTTAGCCACTTTAATGAAGAAGAACAACTCGCTACTCTGTGCACTGCACTTGGACAGATTCGCAGTCACAACTTTGACATAACACTTCCTTATGCTTTCCAAGCTCAAATATGTTTTCCTTCCACAGAGAGTTAGGTCATGTGTCCCCAACATACCTACAAAGATTTAGCTCGATCCGAATTTATTTGCTTATGCAAACACCCCATCTCAACAGACTCGTCTGGTATGAGCGCTGCATAGGATAGTCTCAGTAATTCAATCATATCTCCCAAACTGCATAGGATAGTCTCAGTAATTCAATCATATCTCCCAAACTACCACATATAACATGAAGATATTTTACAGACGCACAGATAAGAAGGTGGTGAAACTCCTTACCAAAATTCAGCTTCATCAGATCTCTAGTAAAGCCGCGACACAAAATATACTCTGACTGGTCACTGATTCGCACTACAGATATCAACTCCAAGTAAATAACCATAACTTTCATATAACAAATCCAAATGACAATTCGATTTCGGATTAGGATAAATAATAGAGTCGTAAAGGTTCTTACAAAGTTCCATATCGATCAGAACACATTTGATCCTCGATTTCTATTCCCAAACGAAACTGGTCAAATCTGTGATTGTTTACGGTTTAGGTCAAATTGCGTCAACGAACGAAAACGTCATAACTTTCACCACATACATTCGATCAAGATAATCCTAGACTTTCTGTTAACCTGAGACTCGGGGCTTTCTATCGGTATGTAGATTGTCTCATAGTACCTTCAGATATGATCGTAATATTTCTCACAAAGTCTCTCCTCGAAACTGAAACAGAACTGCACTTAGATCAGATTTGATCCCTCAAATTGAAAAGGCGATATCTCGCATCATATACCTTCAAATTGAGCAAAGCCGGAGGCGCTGGAAAGCTGCAAAGGGCATCTTTCCAATGGTATAAAGGAAGTGGCAACACCATCTCGAGTCTGTTTCTCCTTTCTCCTTCTCCTATGGAAGCTCTCTGCTTCTCTGTTTTCGTTATTTGCTTTCACGTGGGGGCTATGTTAGAGTAGTCTAAATCTTGACTAGATAACTAGGGTATTTAGAGATAATGGGCTCTTTGGAGAGAACAATTGGGCTATGCTTCTTAAACCATATTTAATGAACCTTTTAATTTGGGTTTAAGAATTTAAATCAACTGAGATTTTTCTTGATCCACTTTGCATTCTCGGTCCAAAAATATTTCCACGCCAAATTTTAAAAATCTTCGGGATACGGTTGTGACACATCTGATACTTTGAAATATTTAAGTGTCTAAGCATTAACAGAACACAAACTCGTCTAAAGCAAATTCTGTACCATGAGGATTATGTTACTGAATTATTATCAAAGTGTTCAACTGTTAAGAACAAAACCTCTTTAATTGATAAACACAAATGGCAAGGTACAATAGTCTGGTAAATCAGGCAAAAATATGTCTAGTCATATGTTATCATGGATTCATATCAAAGCAATATTTTCCGGTCATAACCCATACTACATGTTTCTTAGACCATGTTTATCGGACAGATTATTAGAGGTTCATGGGCTTTATTTCTTTTAAAAATAATAAACTGGGTGTTTTTTGGGTTGAGACATATCAGTAAGCTGATCCTTTTGATCCGGTTCAACAGAGACACATGTCATCGTCCTATTGGACCGTCCATTTTAGGGTTACGCAGAATGAAATTTTTTTCATTTGGTCGCGTTTGCTTCTCTCTCTCGACCAAGAGAGGTGATTTCGGTGATTGCGACGAGATAATTTTCACTCTTCCCTTTACCTCTCTCTCTCTCGCAGCGGCAATTCTCTTCGTCGTCATCTTCGACGGCAAATCTCGATTTAGAGGATTCCCTCTGGCTCCTTCTTGACGAGCTATGGAGGAAGATACTAGAGATTGGTGTCAAGTTCTCGACTTTCTCCTACAAAGATCTCTGTTGCATCTCCATCTCCTCTCGCCGACTGTGCTGATTTTCCTCCGATGAAGCTCCTTTATCTCTTCATTGATTTCCCCAACCACATCGA